AGAGTGACATTTCCTCAGCGGGCATCAGGGAGGACTTCCTGGTGAAGGAAGCACCTCACTGAGCTTGCAAGGGCGAGGAAGGCACCTCCTGAAGGAGCTGAGGGAAGAGGGATACAGGGTGGAGAAAACCCATGTTTGGTGTGACTGCCCCTTTCCTTGTGTAGAGACCCCCACCACCACCTACCATGACTGAGTAGAACTGCAGAGACCCAGGCCAGGGCACTGACTCCCATTACGTGGGGGCCTGGATAACAGGCAAACCCTTGGCCCCAGATCCTCCCAGGGTGCCCTCCTTTCCCTCTCTATTGTACAGTCTGCTGGTCCCACAGTGTGGAGATAAACCCAGGTTTCAGAGAAGGGAACACTGTTTGTAAAAGTGAGTAAGAGATTGGACTCAGAGTAAGGCAGAGCTTGGTTCAAATCCAGGCTCTGCCACTTACCAGCCATGTGACCCTGACACAGCAACATTTTTTAAAAAATGAATTTATTTATTTTGGGCCGAGTTGGGTCTTCGTTGCTGCCTGCGGGCTTTCTCCAGTTGCGGAGAGCAGGGGCTACTCTTAGTTGTGGAGTGCAGGCTTCTCATTGCGGTGGCTTCTTTTTTGCGGAGCACGCGCTCTAGGTGCACGGGTTCACCTAGTTGTGGCTTACTCAGCGGCATATGGGAATCTTCCCGGACCAGGGTTCGAACCCACGTCCCCTGCATTGGCAGATAGATTCTTAACCACTGTGCCACCAGGGAAGTCTGACACAGCAACCTTAACCTCAACCTCTCTGTGCTTCAGCATCTAGTCTTTAAGTGGAGGTAACGGTAATCCCACATCGGAGGTCATGGTGAGAATGAAATAAGATTGTGTGTGTGAAGCCAGGGCCTGGCACAGATAACACTGCCACTGTCATTATTTCACTATTATGGATTACAAAACATTAAAGTATTACAGAGAGCTCTGAGGCCCCAGGGACGGGAGGACCCCAAAGCAGTAATCAGGGTCCTAGTTTCTAGTCCCAGCTCTGTCACCACTTATTGCGTGAAACAAGGCATGTTGCTTCTCCTCTCTGTGCTGTGGTTTCCTTATCTGTAAGGCGGGACATTGGGCCATGAGGCTCCTACCCCTAGACTGTTCCCTTCCCTCCCCGTGCCCCCCTGACCCCACAGGGTACTGAACCAGGGAAGTAAAGGCTAAGTCTCATTCACACTGTCTTGGGCTCCAGTCTCCCAGGGGCTAAGCCAAGAGGTCTCTGGTTAAATTGTGACCTCCTGCCCCGCATGCACACCCCTGCCCCCACCCCCACGCACAGCCCTTTAAGGCTGTCCTCCTGTGAACACCAGCACCACTGCAGCTGTGGGTCCTCTGTGCCCCCTGCCAGCCTCAGGTGCCCCATGCTCTGATACTGGGCTCAAGGGAGGCATCAGAGAACTGTCCGGTACCAGGTACCCAGAAGTCCCCAGCCCAGATCCTTGGTTCTGATTTCCAGGGGAGGAAATCAGGACATGCCCAAGTCATGGGCAAGTTCAAAGCAGAGCCTGCCTGGAGGAAAGAAACCTGGGATGCACACCCGTCCTGGCTCTTCCCACTGCCCTGCACTGCCCCATCAGGCGCCCACTATCTGCCATCAATCGGGACTTAACCACTCCAAGCGCACTTCATAATCACTGTCCTTTTGGTCCTCCCATCAGTGCTGAGAGAGACAGCAGGTGGACAAGTGGCACTAGTCCCATTTTACAGATGAGGAAGCAGAAGTTTACATGATTTGATAAAGGTTGAGACCCTGCTAAGTCTGGTGTTCTTTTGACCAGCTCGAGCTCCCTCTTCCACTGACTGCCCTCCTCTGCAGACCGGTGGAGGGGCAGGGGCAGGACATCCCAACTGCTCACTTGGAAAACTGACAAGAAAGGCAGAACAAAGATGCAGTGATGAACAGAGCTTCAGGAACAAAGTTCTGTTTTTAATTATTTATTTATTTATATACTTTTGGCTGCGTTGGGTCTTCGTTGCTGCATGCGGGCTTTCTCTAGTTGTGGCAGGTGGGGGCTACTCTTCGTTGCGGTGTGCAGGCTTCTCACTGCAATATCTTCTCTTGCTGCGGAGCACAGGCTCTAGGCACGCGGCATTCAGTAGTTGTGGCGCGTGGGCTCTAGAGTGCAGGTTCAATAGTTGTGGCGCACCAGCTTAGTTGCTCCGCGGCGTGTGGGATCTTCCCGGACCAGGGCTCGAACACGTGTCCCCTGCATTGGCAGGCGGATTCTTAACCACTGCGCCATCAGAGAAGTCCCAAAGTTTTTTGTTGTTGTTGTTGGTGGTGGTGGGTTTTTTTTTTAAAGTTGATCAGGGGCCTGAGGCAAAACCAGCCATACCTGAATGGGGTGGTTGCTGAGGCAGCACTTCCACATTTGTTAGCTCATTTGATGCTTAGCAGGCACCTTATTGTAATTATCATGCCCATTTTACAGGGGGGAAGGTTGAGGTTCCATGTCAGTGCGGGGATTGGTAGGGAGGCTGAGGGGAAAGGAGGAGGAGCTTCCCCTAGGCGGGTGTCCTGCCCTGGCTGCAGCCTCCGGTTTCTGGGCAGTGGCAGGACGGACCTTTGTCACCACGACCACTTATTGCAGATATTGTATGTGCCAGGCTCTGGGACCAGTTCCTGCCTTCCAGGTGGGAGAGACCCATGAGGCAAAGGTCATGGCCTGTGCCTCCGTAGAGGTGTGCAGAAGGCATTAGGGAAGTCTGGGGAGGGCATCTAACCCAGAGAGACTTCCTGGAGGAGGTGATGCTTAGGCTTAAAAGGTGAAGAAAGTGGAGAGGGTGCTCCAAGCAGAGGGGACAGCCTGAGCAAGGGCTCATAGGCATGAGGCTCGTGAAAGCTGAAGGAGTTTAGAGTGGCTGAGGGGCAGAGTTCAAGGCAGGGACAAGCATCGAGAGAGAGCTGCATAGCAGCCAGATCCGGGTGTCCCTAAGGAGCATGGCCTAATCCTAGGGGTGATGGGGAGCCACTGAAGGTGCCTGAGTAGGGGAATGTCACGTTCAGATTTGACTTTTCAACAGGATGAACAGCCTCGGTCCTATGTGGGAAGCCAGAGGAGCAAGGGCCTGTGGGAAGTCAGAGCTTCCCAGGGGAAGAGAGCCTGGGCCTGGTCCATAAGTCAGAAGCGTTGAGATGTTGGGGGGTGGCTTTGGGGAGTAGCATCAGCAAAGAAGAAATGGCAGTGGGAGTGGGACTCAGCTGTGTCCCTGGACCTCATCTCCCCTCCCCTTGGGGAGTTGCCTTTACCCCATGCAGGGAAGGTGTGGGGTAGGGAGGGGAAGGAGAGGGGCTCTAAGCCTGCTGAGAGGTGTGAGGTCCAAGAAGGGGGTCTACAGCTGGGCAGGAACTACCCTGGAAGGGGAGGCATTTTGGGCCTCGTGTGGACTCAGAATCTGAGCTTGGTGCCCAGGGAATGGGGGTCGGGCACTCCCAGGCTCAGCCTCCATGCCCTGAGCCCTCTCTCTGAAAGCTACTTTGAGGGGAACCTGTGACCCCCGCATCCCAAGTCCTCCTCCCCATACTGAAATTGGTAAAAAA